ATGTCAATCCCGAAAATCTCGGGATTAGGAAAACTTAATCCCGAAAATTTTGGGACTGAAAAGTGGTCGGGATCCCGGGATCAAATCCTCTAATCTAAATATATAAAATTACTTGTCCTGACAGTGATTGATTCATCATCGCCCAGAGCAAACCGCTGAACCTAGAGGTGAAATTTGGTACACAGGTCATGAAAACGCACACTAAGGTGGTATTAATATTTTTGGAAATTCCCCCGCGGGGGGAGAGGGAGAGGATTAAGGCTTAACCTAAAGAACGGTTTCTACTGTACTATTTTAGATTCGATTTTTTGTTTTCAACTACATTTAATTTTCATTGAGTACTTAGGTGTATTAAATTGATAACATTTCAGACATTGTTATAAATATTTTTATATATTTCAATTTTTTAACCAAATGTTCGAACTGTTTTAAATTCGAATTTGTTATTGCATATTGGTACGACTATAGAACGATTGTAAACGTTCCAGAAAATAGTTCGATTCTCAGCAATTCTCATCGGTAAGTGTTATATAACAATTACTATGGTTGTTGAAATACTAAATATAAATGGGATTTGCTTGCAAAATCTGTGCGTGTGAAGTCGCGGGCAACGGCTAGTACTGTATATTAATACATTAATGTCTACAGAAATATTTGTTTAAAAAAACTATATCTGCAGATACAGGTATTGCAGTAACACACACAAAATGAGGGCATCATGTTCATTATTAAACCCAGTTAATAACTTTGAGATTGGTTATATGTTGTTATGGTTATATGAAGTTATATGCACTGGCAAATGAGATACTGTGATCTGCTCTTAATTGCTATCTTGATTTGAACATGATTTTTACTTCAACTACTTAATTAATTTGAAATTTTAGTGCCAAATTAATTACATAGTATAACAAGCAATTATTTATTGTGACATTGTCACAGTGCCAGGTCAGAATTTTTAGTCATATTTTTAATTTAATTTAAAATATATGCTCTCCACCTGAAATTAGTAGTGGCTTGCCCCTGTACAGTACATCACACTTTCCTTCAATAATAGAGCCGGTCATCTATCTAACACATTTCAGGGGAAAATTTTTGAATTGAAATACTACTTCCCGTTTGCATCAGAAGTTCCTATATATATGGATAGTTAATTGGGGCCTTATCCCTAAGGTTTTCATATCTGTCTCGTCTTTTGTCTACCTAACTCTGTTCTTGAGATTAAGGAAAGACAGATATAGTAACAGTGGGAATTTATAGGTATACAATTTTAAAAAATTATAATGGGAAACTTTGTACACACACACACGTATGTATGAATGTCTATAAACCATGAAAATATAAGCACATCTGCCTTTATTTCCAAAACTTGTACAGAAGATTTTGTTATTACATGGGTGGAGTGTGTGTTTACATCCATACTGTACATGTTTAGGCCACAATTTATCTAAAACATTTATCCATTCTAGTGAACCAAAATCTGATTGTAATGCAGTCATACTCCAGGCACCAGAATCCAAGGCCATATGTTGGAGGAATAACTATTTACAATAAAACACAAAAGGTAGTCAAAGTTCATCAAATATGCAACACGTGGCTCTTATCAAATAATGCCAGCTTCTAAACTTTGCTTCCTTTTTGTGAAATATGGATAATGTAAATTTACTAAATGTTACATCATAGTCAAGATACAATTCCTCCAACAAATGCACTGAAATGCTTGTCTTGTTAACTGGCTATTATCATTCGTATTTGAGGAATATAAACCAGTTTCCGTCTGACCAGTCGGGGATTCCAATAAAGTGGTAAACGGCACTAAGTTATCCCTTCTGGGTTTGAGGTAGGTAGGACGGTGATGTCTTCTCTTGAATTCCAATTGTATAAATGAATTTGTCAAAACATTGTCTGGAAATTATTTAATTATTATACATGTCTCTCTCTCCATGAGTTGGAGAATTTTATTTATTACACAAAAGCTGGCACTTCAAGATAAATGGAAAGAATGCTGTCCTTCATTGACAGCTACTTTTAGTTTATTCTGCATAATATCAACACTAGAATAATCTGGGAGTTTCAAATAGTTAACACATGTCATCACAGAAGGTAGATATTCATCTGGGCTTTCATTACAGTCCAGAGTTTTGCGCACAATAGTCAGAGGAGGGGAGAGACTTTTTAACCCTGAAAGTATACAAAACATTTTAAAGAATTTTTTATATTATATATTACATAAATATTTAAAGTTATATTAAATAATGCATAAAGGTATACCTCCAACGGGTAGTCTTGGAGAACCCGTTACAAATTGTAAAAAATGCCGTTGTTCCATCTTATTGTAGTTACTAAGAATTTCAAATAAAAATTTAATGGCACGACTGTCATGATTGTAACCATGATCCGGTCGACAGCATTCCATCAGATTTTTCATATCCCACTGACTGTGGCCATTACCACAAAATAAGTATTCAAGCTGAAAAGTAAACATTAATTTAAAATAAACTGAATTCAGTCACAAAGGAATGTACAAAAATACACTACCTCTTCTGGATAAAATATCTGCAAATGTGTTAAAGGGAAGACTGATTCAAATCCTTCTCTAAATGCTTCCATTTGCCTTCTTACTCCCTCTATTAATGTCCAATGACAAACCAGCTAGGGATAAAAATAATAAAGTCTATATTGCACTCATGCACAGTATTGTGTTTTACTATATGCATTATACATTTTTCAAGTTTATCATTAAAAACATCCCTTGTAATGTAGAACTGTTTGCACACATCTATGCAGGAGATTGCTATTGATCTTAGTCTAAAAAAATGACTGGAACAATTGACAACATCCAGGACAAATATACTATTAAAAATTCATTATAAAAGAAACAATAAAAATAAAAAAATAAATAAAAGTGAGTCTTCATAATTTGTTTTTACATAGCTGGTGTGTGAAAAGGACAAATTATGAAGACACGCTTATTCTTTTGTTTTGAGGGCTACTTCTATACCAGTGAATTTTTTAATTCTATTGTTTATGACATTTCTGGAAAGTTGTATGCCAGGAACAATTATTTTTCAGCTATTTATAGAGAAGCACATCAAGTATCAATTCTGTTGATCATGATAACTTACTGATACATTTTTCAAATAAAAAATACATTGGACCTGTTGAAATTTCTCATCAGTTTATTCAAAGTATGAAAAAAAAATTATGAACAAGAGAAGTAGGCTTAAGTGATAGTAAAGACCATTCAAAGAAGGAAGAACAAATATGATGAACCATATTCAGGGTACCCTGATGATGTGCACAATTCAGAAAACAGCATTAAACTCATCCATAGTTTCACTATGGATAAACCTAATATGGTGTTTCTTATCTTTCTGTCTGTCCTTTAACTTCATTACAAAAGATTTGTGCATGATAGTTTTGGAAATCCTTACATCAGAACAAGCAGAAAGAGAATGGTTCCAACACAGATATTTTGGATCAGTGACAGGAGAGGAGACATGGTCTCTCAGTAGAAGTGGAAACAAGCAGCAGTCTCTTGCAAGTGAAGGGCGAGACTGAAAAACTAAATTCTTTAAAAAGTAACATGGTAGGTCTAGTGCATTCAACAGCTACATAACAGTGTTATCACTGGATTACATTATATACAATTTAATTATGTCTAACTGAGATTAAAATGATCATCAAAAGCAATCTTTGTCAGATCACATGAAAACTTGAAAAAATCTATTATTGAAAAATTAAGACAGTTATAAACATTGTTCCACAACTGTTACATAGCTGTTGAGTGCACTGAATGTTTCCAATGCACTGTTTCAATCAACTTAGTCTAAGCTATTCTAGATGGATATTTCAATGAAAGGTGTTACAGTGCACAAAAAAGGAAACTTCAGATATGATCTTTGCATTTTTATTTTTATTTTTGTAAAATAAAATGCAAATAGTTTTAGCATTGGCTACATGATTCAATTGATAGAATAAGTGTATGTATCATGAGTAAAAAAAAGTGCAAATATCTATTATATGTCTTTCTTAGTTTATATTAGAGAGGTATAAAAATATTTCAACTAATATAATCATAATAAACAATGCTTTTTGCCCACGACTACAAATTAGACAGAATTAGATAACCTAATAAATAGGGTATAACAATTTGCAGGGCTTATCACACCAAGGCGGACAGAAAGAAGGACCAGAACTGATTGTGTTTGTTATGTTGTTATCATGTGTTTGTAAGCTGAGGGTGTCCTTGTACCCGAAATGCATACTTACCTAAATTTGAAATGTGATTATTAAAGACCAGCCCCCCTTTTTAAAATAAAAGTTCTGGTCCTTCTTTCTGTCCGCCTTGGTGTGATAAGCCCTGCAAATTGTTATACCCTATTTATTAGGTTATCTAATTCTGTCTAATATAATCATATAAATCTCAGTATAATTATCTTTTGTGAAAGAAGTTTCAAATACAGTTAAATAATTTTAATGATGAATTACTGGATCTCTTTGAATTATTGATTTGTTATAACTCAATCTTTTACATGTATGAATATTTTTTAGAAAGTCTATTTTCATATAAATATATTAGTGAATATAAATAATATCAAAGAAAATAACTTACTTTCAGATATTCTTCTAAATTATGAATTGTAACTGCCATATCCTTTCCTCCTTTTCTCAGTTCAATATGAGAATAACCTGGCAGTGTAAAATCCAAATTTAAATCTTCTATGGGACAACCATCTAATGTTAATGATTCTAAGGCAGTTTTCAAACTGGAAGGTGTCTGAAAAATTTTTATCATTTAGTGAACATTCAATGAATTAAAATTGCTATTTATTTATTTTTTAACAACTAATATGATTAAACTACAAAAATAAAGATTTTTTAGACTGTAAGACAAGACAAATTAGATTGTTAGACAAATTTATATAAGATTCTACCTTTAGTTGTCATAAGTAAATTCCACATGTTATATAATAATCATCAATATTGCTATTTATCAAAAATCTGTTTCTTATAGACTTTGATTTATTGCATTCAATATTTTTGTTGTAGTAGAAAATGCCGACCTATTAACTTAAACATTATCTAACTTAACAGCCATAAAATGTAATTTTATATTTCTGGAATATTTAATTCAACTGAGATGAATGATTTCATAACAAACACTAATTTTTTTTTATATATATATGAGAACTAATTAATAAATGGTGAAAACTATTTATTACCTCAAAAACTACAAATGCTTGTGAATATTGAAACATTTTTTGAAATCCTCACTATATAACAATTTCACATATAACTGAAACTTGTAAAACCCACAGCTTAGTGGCAGTGATATTGTAAAGATGACTGTGACAAAATGGATCATTTATTCAGCTCAGGATGAAATGCATGCTCATATGCATGAGCATGCATTTCATCCATTGTAACAATTTGTTGGAGGAATGAGATGAGTCTCTTTGTTAATCATTACATTGTAGATGATTTTCACAAACTCCAAAATGAGTCCATTTCTGAACATACATAAGAGTATGATGTTCTCTGTTCTTAATGTATTGACTGAGAACAGAATTTTTGTTTTCCCAGTATTTCAGTGAGAATACATGACACTATAAAAACTCTGATTTGTGTGCTGTTTCAATACAGGTGAATCATTAATCTTTCTCTAGACACTGTAGAACTGCAGTGATAGACATGCCATTCACCTTGGTAATGGGGTGGACAACTGCATTGTATTTTGTTAGTGCACTGACTTCTGCCCTCTGTAGGTAGTTTAAATCATATTGCTACTGAATGGTAAGAATGCGCTTTCAGCTTTTACCAATTCTTTGTAACCTTGATGAGCTGTTATTCCACACATAGCAGCAATTTTCACAAAATATAACTTTGCTCCAAATGCAATGACATTGTCCAACTTGAATAGGCCACAGGAGGCTAGTCCAGAGGTAGCAGTTGCCAACCTTTCTGACTTCAGGGACCCCTTAACTCAATTTTGAATTCCGTAGACCACAATCAAAGTTTTTTAATGATACAAATATATATATATAAAGTAAAATGGAACTTTTATGATCATTATTCTATATATATATATATATATATATATCTTAT